GGAAATCTGGGATCATGCTAAGAAGTTGTACTCTGGACAAGACAATACAACTAGGGTGTATCAGTTGTATCAAGAGTAGTTCAATTTGAAGCAAGGGAGTCAAAGCTTAGAAGAGTACTATGCAAGTTTGAGGAACATCCGTAATGAGCTCAATGTGTATTACCCTCTAACATCAGATGTTCAGATCCAACAACAGCAACATGAGCAGCTTGATGTGACAAGGTTTCTTGTGGGGTTGAAGGCTGAGTATGAGCCTGTCAGAGCACAAATATTGGGGGGGTCTGCTCTCCCCTCACTTGAAGAAGTTTTTGCCCGTCTTAAGAGGACATCCATTGAGTCGGTAGAGCATTCTTCTCTCTCTGACAGATCTGGTTTGGTAGTGACTAAAGGGGGTGGTCGTGAAAATAGAAGTGGTGGTGGCAGTAGTGGACTCCCAAGCAACCATGGTGGTCACATGTTTAACCAGGCTAGTGGTCGGACTGGAGGCTGGGACTCAGGGGAGGCCGTGGAAAAGGAAGGGGTAATGCCCAGAGAAAGTGTACACATTGTGGTTAAGGGGCACACAGTTAATTTCTGCTATGATTTGCGTGGTCCACCCAACACTTAGGTTAACCATGCTATGACCAAGGGTAGTGGCACAATTACTGAAAGTCAGCAAACTGACCAAATCCCCTCCACATCTGCTTGTGCTTCTGAGAAGGAAATGGTGAGTGTACCGCGTGTAGTATATGAGCAGTAGACCTGTTCATGGGCCGGGTGGCCCGACGGGCCGGCCTGACCCCCGGACGGGATTGAACATGCTTATAGGCCCGCGGGCTTAAATTCGGGCCAAAAAGCCCAGCCCGCAATAAATTCGAGCCGGGCTCGGGTTTTGTCAAAATAGCCCGGCCCGAGCCCAACCCAACCCGACCTAATATTAAACTTAAAATTAGTTATGTGATTATTTCCATTTGAATAAATTTTTTGATTTAAGAATGTAAAATTGTGTTTTAAAATATAAAAGAAAGGAAAAAATACCATCTTGTAGGCCCATTGTTCATTTAAATAGAAAAAAAATACTATATGAATTTTTAATTCTAATTTGAATAGGGAAAATTGTTTTTTTTCAATTAGGTCGGGCTTCGGGCTCGAGCTCGGGCCTAGTATATTTTCATTAGTTTCAAGTGAAAGCCCAACCCGAGCCCGGCCCGGCCCGGCCCGGCCCGGCCCATGAACAGGTCTAATGAGCAGTTCCTTCAAACATCTCAGCAGAACACCGCTACACTTGCCCATTCAGGTATGGCTTGCTTAGCTTCCAAAGCCTCACACTGGATCATTGACTCCGGAGCCTCGGACCATATGTCTGGGACTCTTGATGTATTCTACAACTCAAACAGTTACACTTGCTAATGGTTCTACAACTCCTATCTGTGGTGTTGGTGATGTTGATCTCTCCTCCTTGTCTTTATCATCTGTTTTATATGTCCCTAAGTTCCCTTTTAACCTTATGTCTATTAGCAGATTAATCAAGTCTCTTAATTGTTCTGTAACCTTCTATCCTTCTTCTTGTGTGTTTCAGGATCTCAAGACGGAGAGGAAGATTGGTGGAGGGCATGAAGCAGGTGGATTGTATTACCTTGATGGTAGTGGCCCTCCAGTAGCTTTTTAGTCATCTCTTACTCATCTTCAATGGCACTGCAGACTTGGTCATCATTCTCTCAAGACTTTGAAGTTGTTGGTTCCTTCCTTGAAGCATCTTTCATCGTTAGATTGTGAGTCATGTCAATTGGGAAAACATCGTAGAGTCTCATTTAGTCCAAGAGTTGATAATCGTGTCTCAAGTCCTTTTTCTTTAGTTCATTTTGATGTATGAGGTCCAATTAAAGTGGTATCATACAATGGGTATAAGTATTTTGTAATCTTTGTTGATGACTTTTCAAGGATGACATGGATTTATCTTATGAAAGACCGTAGTGAGTTGTTCCCTATTTTTCAAAAATTTTATGCTGAAATACGCACTAATTTGGTGTTCATATTAAAATTCTTCGCTCCGATAATGCCAAAGAATACAACTCCTCACCATTTCAGCGATACCTAGAATATCATGGGATTATTCATCAAACTTCTTGTGCCTACACCCCACAACAGAACGGTGTAGCTGAACGGAAAAATCAACATCTTCTTGAAACTGCTCGATCCTTGATGATCAACATGAATGTTCCAAAGCATTTTTTGAGTGATGTTGTTCTCACATCCTGTTTTCTGATCAATCGGATGCCCATGTCAATCCTTGGAAGTCAATCTCCTTTCTCCATGTTATTTCCCACTTTATCTCCATTTCCTCTCACCCCAAGAGTCTTTGGTTGTGTTT